TTCAAATTAATAATTCAAATAAAGATATGATCAGCCAAATTTAAAGCAATGTACAACATTTCAAATTATAACATATGAATTAAGGATTGTTTGTGATATAAAATGAAATAAAATTGTGAATGTTGGGATGAATTGTGAACTTGTATAATGTTACACAACTCCGCTAAGTATGAAAAGGATGAATAACAAGTGGAAAGAGCTGGAAAGGATTGCCCAGGACAGGGTTGGATGGAGAATGCTGGTGAGTGAGTGGCCTATACTCCTTCACGAGGGGTAACAGGCGTAAGTAAGTAATAATCTTACACATTAAGTAAAATTGTGAGATTAGTGATTAGAATAAATATGGTTAAGATGGAAGGAGAGAGACAATAATGTAATTACAAATCAGGAATCAGATAATATATAGAACAATGTGAAATGGATTCGAATTAGCAAATAGATGTGGATACTGAATAAATTTCTCGAAAACGTTGTCAGGTATTCAAATAATAATAATAACATATTCATACTCTTTCTAGTTATAAAAAAATCATTATTTCATTGGACAAAATGAAATATCATCAACTAAAACAATTGAAATAAATGGAATAATAAGAGTATAATCTACATTGTGATTGCAACACTACTGATCAGTTAATTAATTACAAACCAATGATTTCTTGAATATAAGAGATATAAAATGTTCTTTGAGATTTGTCAAAGTATACGACTATAAGTTTATAACTTTAGTAGAGTTGACATTTAAAGAAGTTTCGATCATCAGTTTTTTTTAATTATAGAATATGAATAATAGAGACGAGTGAACATTCATAAAATGAATGCATTATCCTATCAATTTTATGTAAAACCTAAATTTTAATGAGCAATAAGAATTAATAGTTTAGATGTATGTACATTATGTGTTTGGCAATATGAATTGTATAGAACTGAACACTTATAGAAAATCTTTTCAGTTTCTCTAATATTTCATCTGATATTATTAACGTTTCAGTAAAGAGGCCATATAGTGATGTCCCCGCATGATACTACACAATATTAAATCAAAGACTTTTATATCTGTGAAAAACACGATAATTTAAAATATATAAATTTTGTTTCTTATTGATTCAACAACGTAGTGGATGAAGCAGTTACTCATTTGTACCATTTAATAAGAAACCCTGTATACCACGAATCAACTGAACAGGTGGATAGTGGATCTACAAGTTATATCGCTTATGATACCTCAAAGTTTTAATATGATCAAAGAATACTGTTGTAGATCCGTAAATTAAAATGGAATACGTATAACGCTTTGTCCCATATCCGAAATGGTGTTCCAGATAATGTAGATCTATGTGAATTATGTTCAATTGCAAATAATATTTAATTTGTATTAAATATAATAAAAATATCGATTCCATAAGTATTTACAATATGCAATATCAAGGATAATTATAATAACCAACATTAATTATCAATATATTTCATATCTGATAAAAATACACTATTTATTCATTGATATTGTAAGCATGAAAAACAATCCACGTGAGCTACAAATCTTCTTCACCATCTCATACATATAATCATTTTCATATAAAAGATAACTAAACAATATTATCAAGATAACTAGTTATTATTTTTTTAACTGAATAAATCTGAGTAAACAAATTTCAATAGTTGAGATCATGAGTCAACTGAAGTTAGACCACCATGGGATACGTGGAAGCACTGGACGGCCGTTTTGTCCTATTGTGGGACTCCTTAGCAATGCGCATGATTTCAACTATTGGTGTTCTAGCTTCAACTGATTCATGATCTTAACCATTGATATTAAATAATTTTTATCAAATTAATTAAATTAACCAATTGGATTATTGTTTCTATGACTTAATTCAGCATAGATTTAGGACATTAGTTAGAATCTAATCTACAAGTAGGAAGTTGTGATTATTATTTTTATTATTATGAAGATTCACTGATAGAATATTACTATATGTTAATAGGATTAGATTTTATTTTGATATTTCATAGTGTAATAATACAATTTGTTATCTATGGAATAATCCTAATGAATGACAATGAAATTCTATTGGCTATTCATTAGATTTTCTTCAAAGTTTTCTTTTTGTTTGTTTGTTTTGTTTTGATTTGTAATGAATAAGAAATAAATTTTAAATCTATCGATTTGGAGATAATATAATTGATGAAAACAAGAATCAGGATTTCAGTAAAGAATAATATGAATTCAGTTTAATTGATTGGGTTCTCCATCAACTGTTTACAATCTGTAATATGTTAAAATTAAAATGATAGAATGAGTTGAAATAACTTGAATAAATGAGTTTAGTTGGAAGGTGTTATGAACATGGAATAGTATAGTATAACATGAATGTAAATCGGTTGAAGAGAACAATAGAATATTGTACGGAAGGACATTCCACAATATTGATAATAATTCCAGGAGTCGTGTTTGAATATCTGGGCTACTTGTCCCTGATATTTGGATATTTCAACAAGTTATCTGGTTTTTTGTTTGTTTTAACACATCATTATGCCCATTAGTCGCATAACCTATTGAAGAGCGTTTGTAACATGTTTACGATATTTCGCTGTACAAGTTACAAAAGTACCCATTCATAGACATCGTGGTTGCTGGCAATATGCATAGAAAAGAATGTATATTATTCAAGAGTCGATTCCCGAACTGCTAATATCTAACTAGCGACCATTCAATATTTATTTCATCTATCGATTTAGAAATAAAAAAGGGAACTTTTTGAAATAATTTATGCTGAGAATTCTACATTTTACCAGAAATATAACATTGAATAAAGCCAATAATAATAGTGACAAAATATTAAGGAATTACTAGCAAATGGTTAGGTAGTGAACAAATGATAATAGTAAATAAGGATAGAATAAGTAAAGCTAAATTAGTTAAAATAAAATTGTTAATCTAAAGGAGTTTAAAAATGGATGTAGCATTACAATCAATTGAAGGAGTTGAACAAAATTTCAAGTGGATACCAGAACTCAGCAGCTAAGTAGATAACGTGATTGCGTTTGAAGCGAACGGTACTGGGTTCGAGTCCCGGGGTGAACATCAGATCTAGGATGCAAGTGCATCCAGCTGACGAGTGCCAACTAGGACGAAACGTGTGTCCTGGGTTCCACTGCTAGCCACCATCCATTTTTGCTTATATTGGTTGTGACTTAGGTAATATTAAGGCAATCCTCACAGGATGCACATATGTCAATAAGAGACTGAACGATTGCAGTCCTAAACATCAATGGGAAGATTTAAACAAACAATGCTAAGTGGAAAAAATTTCATGATGTAACAAAGAGACGTTTTTGTCACCAAGGTAGATAAAGATTAGCAACCATCTTTTGAACGCATAAACTACGTTTCTGAAGCTCGATAACAAACACCTAAGTAAACTAAAAGAGACCTGTTTATTTTTTTCTTACTTACTATTAACATGTGTTCATTACCTAACCACTTGCTTGTAATTCTTTAGTATTCTGCTACTATCAATATTGTGGAATATTCTTTCGTACACTATTTTGTTTTTACACATTATAGGTTGTAAGCAGTTGACGAGAACTCAATGAAATAAATTGAATTAATGTTATTCTGCCTAAATGTTTCTTCTTACTTCCTTCAATATGATAATGGGAACATTATGTATCATATTCCACAATTATTTGATTTTACCTAAGTCTTTGTATACTACATTAATTCTTAGTTCCGAAGTAGGGTCAGTTAGCTATTATTGTTTTCTTACTGAACTACCTGTTGTTTGTACACAAATCGATCAGCTGACATCATGTGACATTTTAAAATCAAATGTGACCATAATAGTTATGTGAGGCATTTTTATTTACTTCATGAAGTATATTCATTCATCTTAGTATAGTATACTAACCAAAGCACTACAATTTATACACAGATAGTTTTGGAAAATTCAGTATGCTAAAGTTTGAAATTAATATTCAATTCAGTTTTATTCCTAATGCCAATTAATCACGTGGTCAGTGTTAATTTTTAAAAAAACTATGGATCTCATCTAAACAGCTGATTAGTTTCTATGGAAATAATATTCTGAAAATGGTTATTCAGGCAAATCATTAAATTGATAAAATATTGACTATTGAAGTATTTAGCTTGTATTTATATCATGAATGGATCGACGTTAGACCACTATTTGAAGCCCGGACGCAGTGGACGGCAGTCCTGTCCAGGTATAGGACACCTCAGAAGTGCGGGCCCATGCCTCATACACGGGACTCGAGCGCGGGACCTTTGGTATTGCACGCGAACGCCACTGAGATGGCATCTGACGGCGTCAATGTCTACTTTTAACCAACCTATGGTATTGCGTGACCGTTCAACATTGTCTTCGGTGACTAACTGCCTCTACAACAGACTCGGCTGAAATCCACTGGTAACGACTTCTCACTAAAACTCCATGAGATTCATCTTGATACTAGTCACTAATGAGCACATGATAATTATCAGTATAGGGTTGTGCAGATTGTTGAATTTAGATTGATATTATGAATAGATCCGTGTTAGACCAGTACCATCAAGTGCTTCCAGGTTTTCAATGGTGGTCTAACATTGACCCTCTCTTGACATCAATTTAAAGTCAACAATCTCCACAACCTTATACTGATATTTAGGTTTTGTTATATTTCCACATCTAGGGTCTACCATAATTATTAGGCGAATAGGTGAAATCAGAAACAGACTAGATTTATCTGAAGCTATAAAAGTACACGTAAATTGCTCGGTTAAAATATGAAATTATTTGAAGTATTTAATTATTTAAAACAACTAGCATGTTGACTAGATATATCTTAGCAAACATTTGCAGATGTTATTATTCATACATAAACTGAATATGGTTGTCTACGAATCATACTGAACAGTCATTTTAACTCTTTCTATATGTTAACATTGGTTAAACTAATAAATCTTGCCTTCCATTAAATACAAATAATAAATGTATAAATTTAAGAGCAAAACGGATATTTATATATTACAGTATTTTGCTTTACATTCTAAAATTCAAATCATTTAAACAAATACATTTTAGAGTGAATGGATCACAGATAGATCACTGTTGAATTATTCCTATTTATCGTTCTTCCTTGTAATTAAATTGAAAAAAAATCATGAAGGAGAAAAATGGATTTTCATTTCGAAGAATATAACGACAGGAGAATTTCAATTTATAGTTTCTTTTTTTGTATGCATGGCCATGTGAATAACCATAAGGCGATTGAATGTGAATAGTTTAAGCCCTGAGATTGATTGATGTGCTCATAATTTATGTACAATCACATGTAAACTATATATATATATATATTGATGTTAATGTGAATAAGACTTTATATCACAGTCGTTTATAATAATTTACCATATACATTAATTAAAATATTTTATCGCCTAGAGGATAATTATTATTGTATGTATCGTTTCATATTATTCCAGTAATCAATGGTCGTGAATTTGGTGAATCGGAAAGACATATACACATATCTCGTCCATAATCATTACTAATTTCTTCATAATCCATTGAATGATTCATTTGTTGAAGAGAAGTACTTGATAATAATACTTCATTTGATGCGATTAGACCATTTCCTAGACCACATACTTCAGAATTTTGGATTGATAATCGACATTTGCACAAGGGATAAGATTTTGAATACATAATGACATCATTATCATTAGGATCGGCATATTCATCATCGTTATCGTTATGTTGGTTAAATTTTGGTTTAATCAGACTATTTTCCACATTCCCTGTATTGTATGGAGTAGTTAAACTATACATTACATTTAATGTATCTTGATGTGATGATTTATCACATTTCATAGGATTTTCACTTCGAAAATTTGAAAATGCACGTTTTTCAGGTATCGAAGTAGATGGATTAGAATCAAGTGCTCTTTTATTGCGAGTGCATACTGAAGAGTTATTTGGAACAGAATCATAGACACATTGATACACTTGTTCATTTTGCTTGTTTGAATGTAAAACTCGTAATTCTGAATGCGTTTTTGTTTGAATTGAACTCAGATTAGGTGTTCTAGGTTGTTTCACAGGATCACATTGTTGTGTGTTATATGAATGATTGTTTGAGTCATTTTCGGAAGAGGAAATGTTTTGTACATCAACTGATTTATTATCCGTTTGTGGTGTATTAAGTGCTTCTCGGTTTAATAATACAGATCTTGCTTTTTTAGCAATTTTTAAAATTACCATTATCCTGTATAACCGATTACTTGGTGAAAAACTGTTAGATGTTTTTTTGAAAGAGATATGTTGAGATGAATCAATTGTAGTTAATCTATTGGAGTTATCCATTAATAAATTATTTTTATTCTCTATTGATCTTATAAGTGGTCCTGTCGATGGCTGTAAAGTACTTTGAAAATTCTTCAGTTTATTGATTGAAATCTCCATTATAAGTTTCAATGCTGATGAGGTTATTTCATTATATGATGCTTCCACTTCTTGTAGATTCATATTTTGATTACTTATACAAATGATGTTTTCAAATATATTCTGATTTGTTTTTTCTTTTGTTTGAATTTTTCAAATAAAAAAATATTTTTGTTCAAAATACTGTGATGGACATTATATTAGTTTTTATTGAACATTTAACCAATGATAATCCTTTATTTTTGTTTAAATTAGTTAATTACATTATGGTTGGTTAAATTAATGTTATTAACGGTTTCGTATCACTCAACTACTTGCAGGGTGGCAGCATTCAAGTAATGATCAACTTTAAAGTGTCGTCGACTAAGACAACACATGTGGGCGTAAGTAAATTAACAAAATTTGATTGCTACATAATTTGAACAGAAAACAATTACTTAAACCAATAATAGTAAACTAAGGCTAATTGACATTAATTATTCGGTCATAATGAACCAATCTAAAGTAAGTAATATTATTTATCGATTAATTATCAATATTCGCCTACTCACCATTTGAATAAACGCCCTCGGACAGTGTTTGACATGCCATAATGTTCACCATCTTCGTCAACTTACAAAATAAGTGTTATTTCTTGGTTCAGGTAGAACATTCAATAGCTTACATCTGACTACACCAATTTCAGGATTAATTACGATATATACTACAATGAAAATCTATGGGAGGTTTGAGATTTTAAGTGACAAACATCTCAAATACAAACATTATACAAACAATATTCTTTCATTTCGGATAACAATTTTAGGTAGTTACTTGTGAATGTTATTCATTTCTAAATATGCCATAAAATTGAATCTCAACCGAGATCTCCAAGTTTCCTGTTTAATTTAGGAATAGAAAATATTCTAAATCAGCTTGGTTTTTATTGGTAAAATGATTAACTTCCACCTTTATGTATTCTTTCAAAATACGATTCAATGACAGAAATGATATTGACATTATACACTGAATATTTTTTAAAGTAAACTATACAAGTAGAAAACGTTCCATTTTCACCATCTATTATATAAGCAGCCGTGAACCGTTTATTCTTAGGGTTGATACTGTTGACTAAATTGATCTTGTTGAGTTCTTAATTAAATAAGTATTTTTCCCGTATTATTAATCATTTACCCCTCGAAATTTTCATTTAGATCAACCTTTAAACTGATCACAAACGCTCTTTCCTTGAGAAACAAAGCTTGGGAAGTAATAAGACTACAATGACAAGTATAAGTCAAGTTGTGAGCAATGGTGTTTCTGTCAATAAAAAAGTCACGTGTTGTAGTCATTTGTTTCTTAAATTTTCAGAAATCTAATGGAGTAGTACTGAACGGTGGTCAATTTGTATTCATTACTACTTAATTTCAATAATTGGCCATTTTAATAAATTTGGCTGAAATTTCCTACCAACCTAGAATACGAAGCTGTCACTAGAGGTTTACCTTTGATGCGAAGCAACAATACTACTCATAAATGTTGTTTTGAAGTTTAATATTTATTGCAAACTGATGTCAGTTAAATAGTCATTAACAAAACTGAGATGTGGACGACTGCTTACTTCAGTATTTTTAGTACTGTGCCTCTCAAAACACTACGTAGAATCAAATGCACGACTCAAATATACAACATAGCCATGACATCGTTGACCCACCAAGACAAGATCTAGTAACCTATGGTTCCAGTTAAGTCTATATGTGATGTGGCAATAACGTCAATTCATATCATCGAAAAGTTTTTGTATCACTGCGGACTTGAATGATTCCACAAGTCGATCTCCTACAATGCATCTATCAAAAATCTGTTAATCACGTCTTATCACACCATTAATATAACACAACAAACAATTTAAACAAAAAATATTACTAAGAACCTTTGTCTCCAAAGGCAAAACAGTCTTTCTAGTTCCATAGTACGCCACCCGCTAATAAGGTATTTGAACTGGATACAATAGAGTTACTCAAAGCGATCCACAAGCAATCCAAACCTCCATTGTTAGAATTCAAAGAAGTTATGGAAACAAATGTGTTTTAATAGGAAATTTGTTTTTAAAATGAGTTAACGGTTAGTGTACAACTGCCTTGGAAACAAATGTAAACAGATATTTTTTTATTTAATCAGAATCTCAACTTAGCAAGTTTAAATTACGTGTTTGTATCTTCTTTCATAAATGCTAAAGAGATCTTGTTACGGTACGTAGCAAGACTTTCTTGAATATTCTAGTACTACCACTCAAAGAAATTATAAAAATTCTGTGAAAACTTTAGTTGCTAATTTCATTTACATTACAAACAACTGTACTTTATTGATGAACAATTTGGTTTTGTAATTCTAACCAATATTAATGATTAGAAACAACTTATCTCATTGGTATGTATTTTACTGAAGTGAAAATAATGTAATAAAATGATTTCATAATATTCTGGGAATATTGTCAAGGGGACAAACTGCATGGAACATTTAATGCAAAATTCATACTATCTTCAAGCCAGAAATATTAGAGCGAACAATTGTTTCCAATGACTTCAAAATCAGGCCTAACGGTTATAAGCCTATACTTACTCTTCTTAGAGAATTGGACATCGACCAACAAACTCTAACTTACTGTGTCCCCCGCTTTCCTTTCCAGTTGTTTCCAAGTACGATTCACCCTTTTAATATTTCGACAGTTGAGATCATGAGTCAATTGAAGCTAGATCACCATGGAAAACCCGGGAGCACTGGACGGCCGTCTCGTCCTATTGTGGGACTCCTCAACAGTGCGCATCCACGACGCCGCCTGGCGAGGTTCGAACCCAGGACCTATCCGTTCCGCGCCGGCCGCTTAACCAACTAGACCATTGATCGGGGTCGTGGATGCGCACTGCTGAAAAGTCCCACAATAGGATGAAACGGCCGTCCAGTGCTTCCAGGTTTTCCATGGTGGTCTAGCTTCAATTGACTCATGATCTCAACTGTTGAAATTACTATAATCTCCACAAAACCCCTTCTGACACTTTTAATATTTGTCGCCAATTCCCGATAGAATGCGTTTTTTCATCTACCTTCTTTCCTTACGTCTTCAGAATTCCGATTCAGGGCTTGTTTTGTAGCAGGGTTTGACGATTTCTGAAACATTTGTCCTATCCACCTATATTGAACTTTTCCAATTTCCTCTACATCTAGAATCTGATTTATTGTCCACCACAGTTGATTATGACAAATGATGTCTGACCAATCGACCTGGAGTATGTTGCGTAAACATGTGTTGACAAATACGTGCACCATTTTGATGATGATTGTAGTAGTTGTCGAATTTTTGTCTCCGTACAACAGAACTGTGTTGAAGTTTGTGTTGAGATTGTGACCTTGGTACTGTCTGTCAATTATTTTGTGTTCTATATTTCTTTAGTCGTAGGAATGCTACCATTTTTGCCAGTCCATCCCTTCACACCTTCATCAGGTAGTTCTTATCTGTCAATGATAATACCTAAATATTATAAAGTTTTCACTTCTATAAGAGCTACTCCATCAGGTGTGATTATATCGGTACTCTCTTTGTTGTACGTTAGGATCTTGCTTTTCCGTTTGTGAATGTTTAAACCTACTGTTGTTACACTAGCTGTTTTCACCAGTATTTGGTGCTTTGAGTAGAACAGAAGGGCTAGAGCATCTACAGAGTTCAAATATTCTGCTTGCATCCAAACCGTCTTCTTTATTCAGTGTTTGCCTTGAGATGTGCAGGTCTTCATATATCAATCAAAAGCCAGGGGAAAAAGGATATGCAAGAGTAGGCAGCTTTGTATTACACCGGTACTCATTTAGAGTGAGTTCGTGAGCTCTTCTCAATGCGAAACTTTACAATTTAGTCCCATGTATGCGTTTCGCAGGATGGTAACGATCTTCTCAAACACCTCACAGTATCAAAGAAAACTGCACAATTTTCTCCCATCCACGCTATAGAGGCTGATGCATAGCGACGAGTTCCACTCAACAGATTGCTCAACAATGATTTAAAGAGTCATTATTTAATTGGTACATGATCGATCTGGCTTGTGATGTCTCTGTAGTTCTCATACTTTCCGATATCTCTTTTCTTTATTATCATGACAAGTAAACTTTATTTCCAGGCTACTAGTACTTGTTTTTCTCCCAAATGTTTCTGAAGAGAACGTGGAACAATTCTATAGTCACCTCGATATCGGAATTCTGTTTGATGCTGATTTATTTTCGTTAGCTCCTTTTTGTCAAATTTTTTTTACAAGATCGGGTTACTAACTCCATGCCTATCCATCCCCCTCTATCTGAGCTTGGCAACGGCAGTAACCCCAGAAGGCACAATTACAATGGCCAAAATAAGAAAGATAAATCAGTAAATTAATCTAGATTGCGCGTTAAAGCAGCAAACTTTTGCTTCTACTACAACTTAAGTGTCATTTGTAAATTAGAAAGCATTCAACAACTTGTAATGACAAATTTGCTTTAAATCAAACCTACTATCTTCATATCATGAAGGGAAACAACTATTCTGGTTCTCTATAGTTCTCAATAATTCTCTAACTGATGACAATTCTTGACAGAGCCATCATCTAGACTTAAAACAGTTCATCAAATCACGCAAGTAAATAATGCTTATGAATCCACTAATGAAAAAATAATCGGGAGTGACATTTTTTCAAAACTATAGAAAGAAGAAATAATTTTTAAAAAAACAATTGATTGATTGCAATTCTGATTCATATATATATATATATATATATATATATATATATATATATATATATATATATATATATATATATATATATATATATATATATATATATATATATATATATTGGCTGAATGTAACATAATACTTACTTACTTACTTACGCCTGTTACCCCTCGTAGAGGAGCATAGGCCGCTCTCCAACACTCCCCTTCGAACTCTGTCCTGGGCAATACTTTCCAGCTGTTTCCAGTTGCTATTGATCCATTTGAATATGAACTGATAAAGATGTTAAAACTAGAATAAATCAATCGTTTAGTTTCCTTCATGTACTAATGACTCTAGTTGACCTCAGTTAATAATTTAAATGTTTTCATTACATTATTTCCTTACGATTATATGAAATTAATTCATCTTGTAACGATTAACACGTCAAAATACAGAATTTCGTTGTGTAGATTAGTGGACAAATACACAATATAAAATACCTCAAGGAAATTACTTTTAAATAATCATTCAGTCATAGACAACTAAATCTATTATGAGAAAGAAACCAGTGACAATTTTATTGTTAAAATAACCTTCATTTCTCATACATGAATGGATACTGACTAGCACAATCTT